TTCAATGCTGTCACAGTTCATCGGTCCACCTTTATTCAAACTACCTGCCATGTACCTGCTTGTTGGATTTGCCTGTCAACAGCCGACCACATCTTCCTCATCCCCCCAGGCAAGGCAGAGCACCTCAGAGGGACCTGCACACCCTTGTCCTCAAAACCACCAGGGGATGCCTTGGCGGGAAGGATCTGTTGGCCAGGCTTGTCAGTCCCGTACAAGGCCACCCCACTTCCTCCTGGTGGGCCCCTCTAGGCCCGTAAAGAAACCCACAGTAGGCACCTTATTTTACTGTTATTAAGAAAAATCCTCCTTAGGGCTTTCTTGGTTGCTGACGGTAAAATCAAATGAAACTCAAGAAATGAAATTTGAGGCTGGAGCCGGCCCTAAAAACTGCAAGTTTCATAATTAACAAAAGAAATCTAAAAAGAGAAATGCAATGTCTCTGCTCCCTTGCAGCTGTGCAGGAAAGAGAGTCATTCTGCAGCCCTAGAACTAGTTAAAAGAACTTGATTTCGTAAGACCCTAAATGGAGAGCTTTCACAAGAATATTCCATCTTTATGCAATGTGGATGTGTGAATATTCACAAAAGTAACCAAATGGGTAAGTTCTTTGTGACAATGTCTTTTGAACAAAGGAGTCTGATAAGACTCCCAAGCCTTTAGAAATGATTGCCTTGAACACTGAACATGACCCCCAACCCTGTGCCCTCACAATTCTGATCTGTTGTCTTACTAGAGAACTTATTCCTCTGGTTATAATGTAACCGACGCCTCTGTATTCCCAAGAGATCCTTTACTTGTAAAAATCTCTGCCAATCAGAAAAAACAAGCATTGGCTCTTTGCTTTTCTCTCATGTGCATGATGGAACAATTAGAGGCTTCTGGCTCAACTAGGTTTATTTAACAAATAATTTGAGAGTCTGGTTCATTTAAATTGATAGGTCCAGGGTTCACAGCATCTACCCCATGGAATTCTAACTGCCTGTTTATGGTTGCACTCTCACTAAGCTGTGATCTCAGTGACGGGGACCAAGGAATGGGGCCAAGTCCGTCCTGTGCTCTGTATGTTCCCAGTGCCTGGCGTGAGGGGGGGCAAATAGGTGACAGGTGCCGCTGTTCCAGCCCTCCTCCCTGGGCCACCGCGCACAGTCATTCCAGCACTCCCTCCCCTGAGCCCCAGTTTAGCTTCAGAATCCTGGACCCCGTGCCTGAGACAGCTGGTACTGAACAGGCGGAACTGGGACATAAAATAAAACCTACTTCTTGTCCCCGGGTGCTCCTTGGCACCCAATAAAAAGTATGAGATGAAGAATGAGTGACAAGGGGACGGGGATCCTGGCACTTGGGATGAGGACTTCCCACCTCCTCCCAGTCTTGTCTGGCCACCCAGCCAGGGTGTCAGCATACCGGGTGTGGGCTCTGCAGGCATAGCAGGGCTCCCCCATCTTGGGTCTCTGTCACTCCTAGCTTCACCCAGATCCAGGGCCGACGATGGGTCAACTGCCTGCCCCCTGCAGGAGTCAGAGGCTGCCTCAGAATCGCCTCTTGCAGCCCATGGGCTCTAGAAAGGCGAGGCAGCCTGTCCGCCAGTCTCCCCACCCCAATGCCTTTGAGCCCAGTCCAGGGCGGCCTCTCCCAGCCCCTGCATCCACCCCTGGGTCCCAGGAGCTGGAACGTGGGGGTCACCCTTTCCAGGGGCTGTGGGGCAACAATATGGGTACAACTGAGTGAGGACCCCAAGAGGAGCCTTGGGCGTAAGGAAGAGGTCCTAGGCAGGACTGTGGAAGGAGATAGGAAAAACGGTCCAGGGCTTGGCCCTTTTGTGTGGCAATACAAACTGGACAGAATTTCCTGGGAAAAAGACTCACCCCTCTGGAAGCTGATGGTTCTGGCTCAGAGAGTCCCCAGCCTGGGGCAATGGGCACAGCCTGGAACTCTGGAAAGTTGGAGGGTGCCCTAGTCCACAGGGCATCATCCCCCAGTGTGGTGGGCACCATTTAAGATGGCCCAAATCATCCCTCCTCCTGGTACCCATGCCCACGTATGACCCTGCTCTCTTCCCCTCCTTGTGAGGAAATGGATCACTCCTGCCCATTCGAGCCCGCAGATGAGATGACACTGCTGTTCTGGCCAGTAGGGTCGCCTGGACCCTCCCTTAGCGGTCACCACTAACACCCCCTCTCGCTGCAGCTGAGGATGCCTCGGCTCTCAGAGAGGGCTGCCAACCTGCCCAAAGTGCCTCGGACAATTGGTAACTGAGAACTGGGAGGCACAGTCCCAGGTCCCAGTCACCATAGCACCCTCCCTCCTAGAGGGGCCAGCCCGGCCACCAGCCCTGGGGGGGGAAGGGTCCGTGGACCCCGGGCATCAGTGCCTCTGCCCTCCGGAGCCAGCCATGCAGGCTTGCTTTCCTCCCACCCTGCAGCCGTGTCTAAAGCCTTCAAGATGTCACCATGCCATTGATTTGACCAAGATAGTCATTAATTGCAGGTCCAGGCACCGTGCTAACCCCTTTACATGGATGAGTTTACTGGTGCTCCCTTTGAGTAAGATCGATTATCTTCCCCATTTTGTAGCTGAGGGAACAGAGGCTTACGGTCCCCAGGGAGCATCAGACCAGCAAGAACCCAGGCCCATCTGTGTCTGAAGCCCATACTTATTCCTCTTCCCTCGCCACCACCATCACCTCGATGTCACACCGACCCCCCTTGCCTTCAGCCAAGTCCCCGCTCACCCAGCTGGTCCGCCGCTCAGGGCCCCCGCCTGTCCCACCATGGGGCTTGCCGCACTGACTCCGTACACACTGGGCCTGGTCCCTCAGACCGCAGAACTTGGCCCAGGGGGGCCGGAAGAGGCTCAGCCCTGCCCCAGTCAGCAGCTCCAAGTCCCACAGCAGCTGCAAAGAGAGGGGGTGCCAGGGCATGAAGGGGTGCCCACTCTGCCCTCTGCCATGCCCCTCGGCCAGCTCCTACCTGCTGCTGGGCCCGCCGGCTCCACTCCATCTCCAGCAACACAGTGGGGAGCTCCAGTCCTGATCGACAGGCCCGACTCTCTTGCACCTGGGGGGACACGATAGAGTCAGGCCTCTGCCTTGCCCTTCGGAGGCAATGCCTTACCCCCCTCACCTGCTGCAGGGCAGCCTGGAGCTGGCCCAGGCTTGCAGGGCATCTAAAGAGGTGCTGGTACAGGGCTAAGGCCTGCCTGTGGCTACAAGGGAGCCCCGGGCCCCCAGGTGTGGCTGTGTGCTCCATGGGGAGGGGGAGCCAGAGCAGATGTCCCCTCCCTCCTCTCCTCTGCTGCTGGAATGGGGAGAGGGGAGGACCAAGAACCGAGAAGGAGACAAAGGCTCCTGAGCTCAATAATGCAGGGACCTGACATCTGAGCCACGGCCTGGACCCCAGCCAAGTCTCAGAGAGGGCCTGCCTCTGACCTGGGTTTCTTGGCTGTGGGGGGTGGCAGCGTGGGGCGAGGACTGGAACCTGGCTGGAGAGAGTGGTGCGTGCGTGTGCTTGTTTGCAAGCCTGAGAGCATGTGTCTTACGTGTACGTATGACACTCGCAATGGCGTTATGTACGCACGTAACGGGCCCCACGCGGACCACAGCCACCACCGGCTCACTGGGCCAGGAAACAAAAGGCTACATCCGTGTAATCCGTCCCTGGCGCAACTCTGTGAAGTGGGTGCTAGCATCCTCATCCAGTCTTACAGACTAGCAAGTGGCCCCGGAGAGTCGAGTTGCCCCAGCTAACGTGGGGCAGCATCTCCCTCATCTGGAGGCAAGTGGCTGTGATGAAGGGGCCTGGGGGAAACGTGGTCCCAGGGACGAGGAGCCCCCACGGGCAGGACAAGGGCGAGCACTTCCCAGGCGCCTGCTCCACGCTGTCCACGTGCAAAGTGCTAGCCCCGGGTCTGCTCTGTCTAGTCGTCGTGACACACGAGATACAGCAGGTGACGGCATGGTTTGTGAAGGTTGGGCAGGGACAAGGGCACGAGCTGGTCTGTCATCGCCACATCCCCGCTGTCCTGAGCAGCCTCGTGCACCTGCTGCTTTGCAACCACTCCGCGAGAGCCTGGGGCCGACTCCCCTCGGGGGGCTCACGGGTGGGCTGAGCTAGCAGCTGGTCTCGGGTCAGCCCAACTCCCTTCACTCCTGCTGAAGGAAAGGGGAGCTGCAATGAGAATGCAGTACCCCCTCATCTTTTACCCAAGGCCCCTACATCACCAAGGTCACAGCCAATAGGTAGCAAATACAGAGTCCTTTTTGCAAAGAGACTTTTCAAAGAAATAGACTGGTTTTCTATTTCCGAACCCGTGTTCTTTCCTCTACAAGGATGTCCCCTGCTCACATGTCCATCCAGGGGGTGTGTGGCTGTGAACGCACCCAGGGGCCCACGCGTGAGCTGCACATGTTTACCTGGGTTTCTGAGGGGTGTGTGTGCACAATGTGCATGTGCACGTGTGCATGTGTATGTTCGTGTGTGTATGTGCGGGTGTATGTGCGTGGGTGTGTGTGTGTATGCGTGCGCATGTATCCATATTTCATCACGGTCTGTTGTGTCTCCAGTTCCCCACCCCAGGCATGTCCCTGTCACCAGCTCTTAGAGCGGCCCTGGAGACACCTAGCACTTGGTATCCCCCAAGTCAAGAGGAAAGGGAATGCCATGCGAGGACTAAGCCCCTTTTCTGTGCTCCTCAGCCCCCACAGAATTCCACATGAACCACTGAGGGACCATGGGCCACACTTGCGGCACAGTACGACCACAGAGCTGAGACCAAGATATCTAGGTCTTCCTTCCATCCAGTGCAGGGTTTCCCAGGCAACCCCAGGGCATGGCAGGTGGGGGCAGCCCAGGCAGGTGCAAGATGTGATGAGCAAGATCCAGGGCTCAGCTCCCACAGCTGCCACCTCTCGGATTCTGGGGACAGCGATCACCGGACCCCATGTTCCAAGCAGCCCACGCCATCAACGCAGCACCAGGAGAAAACACACATACACACAAGTATGCCATGGGAGAGCCCCCAGTTTTACTGCTTCTGACTGAACACAGTGAGGTCTTTGTGGGACATAGGCCCAGGCTCCCGGTGCCTGGGTAGGGTACTCTTTCCACGCTCTGGCCACAGCGGGAGCCGTTCTCCAAGGGGAGGCTTTTGACCCGATGAGTCCTGGTGTCATCCTGGCTCCGGGTGCCCCCCGAGGCTACTGGCTGGGGCTGGGCAGAGGCCTGGGGGGCTGGTCCCCAGTGAGTTGGATGTGGGGGCAGGCCTCGGGTGAGACACAGTGGGCCTCATGCTCCACCAGGCCTGCGGGGCACTGGCAGCCAGGAACGCAGGGCCTCACACAGCGGGCTGCCAGCTCCCCTGGGGGGACGTGCTGGTTGAAGCAGGTGCGGGGACAGGGCGGGCCACACTCGTCGAACACGAAGCCACGGTCCAGGGCACAGCCCACGACTGCAGGTGGAGGGGAAGGCAGGGTCACGGGGGCACCCCGTCCAGACCCGAGTCCTCTGTGCCACCCTCTTCCCCAACTCGCACTGGGCTTTGCCCCCTCACCGCAGAGTGTGGGCCCCCGCCAGGCAGGCGTCACCCCCGCCCGGCGGCAGTGGCTAGCATAGGCCTCCAGGGCATCACAGAGGCAGGCATCGGCCAAGGAGCCGGGGCCACAGGCACATAGGTCATACACGCAGGCGGCAAAGAAGGGCTCCGGCGGCACCACAGCGTGGCAGCGGCCGAACGAGGAGGACGTCAGCACCCCACACCGGGCATTGGCCTCACGCCGGGCTCGGTAACCTGCTGCCCTGCACGGATCCACCTCGCGGCCCTTGGAACATGGCCGGCTAGGTCCCGGCCCTTCTGGGACCTAGGCGGGAAGAGTGACCCTGAAGTGACAGCATCCACTGGCAAGCTGGCCTTGGTGTGCTACGTTCTTCAAAACACTTTCCACCAAATATTTTGGTTTAGCTTCAAAAACCTCCCTACAAGAACAGCAAAGGAAGCACTGGCCACTTTCTCCTTGTCCCCATCTTACAGATGGACAAGCCAAAGCCCAGAGCAGGTAAGGGACTTATCCAAGGTCACACAGCCCGTGAGTGGCAAGGCAGGGCTTGTGGATTGATTGATTGATTGATTGATTGATTTTAAAGATTTTATTTATTTATTTGAGAGAGAGAGAATGAGAGATAGAGAGCGTGAGAGGGAAGAGGGTCAGAGGGAGAAGCAGAATCCCCGCTGAGCAGGAAGCCTGATGTGGGACTCGATCCCGGGACTCCAAGATCATGACCTGAGCCGAAGGCAGTCGCTTAACCAACTGAGCCACCCAGGCGCCCAGGGCTTGTGGATTTAGATGATGCCTCCTTCAACAGGCTGTCCTGCCTCCCCCAGCACCATGACCCCAAATCATCCTGAAGCTACAAAGCCCTTCGGTGATCCCCCCGCTTTCCACATAAGCGGGCTGTTCTAAGACTCCCGCTCGACTGTGCCTCCCTCAGCCACCCAGCTCCCGTGCCACTCACCTGCCAGCTGTTCCCAAAGGCAGCCTCTGTGGGCAGGAGCAACCCCTCAGGGCCCTGCAGATCATCCTGGGCAAAGCCATTGAAGTTCCCACAGAGCCCACACATCTGGCCCCGGTAGGAGCCAGGCACGCTCACCTCCACCTGAGACTGCCCATCCCACAGCACCTGTGCAGAGAGGCTGGCATTGGGGAGTGGGGAAAGGTAGGGACCCCGTCCTGGCCCCAGGCACTGTCAGCACCCTCCCTGCTGGAGGGGAGGAGAATGGGTGGATAGAGGCCCCCCACGGAGAGGAGGCAGCTCTGGCCCAAGCCAAGTTGGCCCCTGCTGTGTGAGTCCTGGGCGAAGACATGAAGAGCTGCCCACGCTCTGGCAGGAGGGCACCTTCTCCCATTGGCATCCCTGAGCTGAGCCCCTGGTGAAATGCAAACCCACTTCCAGAGATTCACTTTCTCGTGGGCATTAGGGCCTGACAGAGGACAAAGCACAATTTGAGTCCAGATCAGACTTATTTTATGAATTTACAGATTGTACTTCTTGCTGAAGGCAGGGAGAAATTTACTCTCCGACATGGGAGTTGGAAGGAATCTCAGAAGCCACCTAGGAGACCTCAGTTGACATCCCCCCCAACAGTTCCCCCTTTTTACCAATGAGAAAACAGGCCCGGAGGAGGCTGGTACTGGCCTAAGAGTCCCACTGTGTTGGTGGCTGAACCAAGATTAGAAACTAGGCTCAGAACTCCTTTCACTGCACCCAAGAATCCCAAGATCCCCTCAGAATCCAGCCGAACTTTCTCACCTCCCTGGCCTGATCTGGCCCTGGACCTAGCCGGTATTCCCACTCCCTCTCCAGACACAGACGCGTGAACCGGTCCGGGGCTCCCACACCCCCACTGGCCCTGGCGGCCGCACCTGGAGCCCTGCCTGGGCGTGCAGGATCACCGTGCGTCTCTGCAGCTCTACGTACAGCAGCGGCTCCTGAAGGAAGGGCAAGGCCACCGGGCGCCCGTCCACCTGGAGGAGGGAGGCAGGAGGGGGGGCGACGCCGGGACTGACGAGCGGACCGCGGACGGCGCGGGACCGACCTTCCCCGGGTCCTCAGCTCTGCTCACCGTGACCGCTCTGCCCTGCAGCAGCCGCACGACCACGTCTCCGACCAGCACCGCCACCTCCTGGGTCCAGGCCACACCCCTCCGGCCCCGGTTATCGTTGGTCACGTGCACGCTATGGCGTGAGAGGCCCAAGGTGCCGTGGTCAGCAGGGACAGGTGTAGGGAGTTGGGGGAAGGCAGAGGGGGCTGCGCACCTGAAGTCCGCTCCGCGGCAGTCCTTGGCCAGCACATAGCTGCAGCTGCCTTGGAAGTGCAGCAGGCGGCCGTCGAAGGTGCGGTAATGAGGGTCTCCGAAGGCCGTGCAGGAGGCGGGTCGAGGCAGGCAGCGGGGGCAGCAGCTGCCGGGACTCAGGGCGGGGGCCTCGTCCTGGCCTCAGCCCCAGACCGCGTCAGACACATCGCCCTCCCCGCCGTGCCCCGCGCAGAGACTCCCCGGGACCGAGGACTCGGACTCCCGCCTCCGGGCTCACCGCGAGCGGGCTCAGGGCGCCACCTTGTGGCCGCGCCTGGAACTGCACGGCCTCGGGTACCTCCGCCCCACCGCGCGGCGGCCGCTACCCCAGCCCTGCCTCCCTCCTTCCTCCCGCCTCTTCTCACCCGGACGGCGGTGCCACGTGCCCACTCACCCCCACCGCCCTCGACCGCGGCACTCACGGGGCCACAGGAGAGCGGCGGGCAGCGCTGGCTCTGGCAGCGCACCGTGCCGGCCACGCAGGAGCAGGTGGTGCAAACGTCCACGGCCCAGCGCTCCCCGGAGGCCACCGCCCGGCCCTGGTGCGCGCACGACTGGGCGGGGGCTGAGGCGACAGGACCGGGGTAGGGTCACCTGCCCGTCCCTCGCACTGGGGTCTCGCTCGTCCCCAACCCCCATCGTTCTGGCTGGCACCTTGGCATCGCTCACAGCAGCGGCCGGCCTCTCGCACCTTCGCCCAGCCGTGGGGGCAGGAGAGGGCGGGGCACTCCTCCAGGTCGCACTGCACGTGGCCCCGCTGAGGACAGATGTCACTGCTCTAGGGACCTCCCACAGGGCCTGGGGGCCCTGGCCTCACCCTTCTGGGGGCCCTCTGGGTCACAGTCTGAGGGAGCAGCCCCTTCTCTCTGCCCCTGCCGCACAAGAACACCCATGTCACGTTCCAGTGGGGGATGAAATCCAGCCCTTAGTTCCTTGCTCCAGCCCATGGAGGCCGCTGCCGGCTCTCAGAGGGGGCGCCTTTTTCTAATTACCTCAAAGACCCCATAGTCACTGGTCCAGTGTCCTGAGACGACTCTATCCACCCATCTGTAAGGCCCTCCGCCCCACCCCACGCCCGCCCTACGACCGCCAGCTCACATGGCAGGTGCAAGTAACGCAAGCGTTGCTAGGGTCCTGCCAGCTCTCTCCACCTGCCACGCTCCGGCCCTCGGCCTCCACCACGCATACTGAGGAGGGAGAAATGAGGATGGGGGAGCATTGTCCTTCCAACTGCATCCTCCTCTCTGGAGCTCACCCTGAAGGCCCACAGCAGGGGAGTGCCCACACCATTCCACGAGCACCCTGATGGTGTCGGTTTCTTCATCCGGTATCCAGATGACCTACTAGATGGCAGGCCCTACCCCAGGGCTCAGGTAGAGGAAAGGGTCCTGGAAGCCCAAAGAGCCAGAGGCTGGAACCTTCCCATGGGCCAGCTGCCAGCTCAGTGCAATGCCTGGCCAGTGGGCCTGGGATCCCTGAGCCCACCGACAAGCCTCAGGCGAGGCCTTGAGAATCCAGACTTCATTCCCTGATTTCCTCTACCTTTTGCACCCCAATGAGTAGCCCTTCATTTCTACAAAAGAATGAAGCCTGCATTTGGAGTATACACCCCAGGTTGCCCACATAGCCTTTGGATGCCACCCTTCCTGTCTCCCCCCGGGGCTCATGCTCAGAGGATGGAGGTCAAGGCTGACTTACCTCGGCACACGGGGCAGCAGCTCCCAGGGGGGGTATGGCGCTCTGATGGGGGACAGCTGAGCTCAGGACAGGCCCGGTGAATGCAGAGCCATGTCAGGTCCTGGGGAAGGGCATGTGAACACCACCGGTAGAGACCAGCAGGGAGGGAGCAGGGTGTAGTTGGGAGCAGGCCTGGGCCAGATATGATATCCGAGATAAGTGGGAGGATGTCGGGGTGAGTGGGGAGCCTGGAGCTGCTGCAGGACAGGGCTTGCTGCCACAGCCTACGGCGGAGGAAGAGAGCGCTTTGGGAGTCCCCGGGGCAGAAGGCTCACCTGGCACCGGCAGGTGTAGCAAGGGTCAGGCGGGGCCAGCTCGGAGCCCAGCAGGCCTTCTGTGCAGTTACTCAGCGCCTCTGTGAAGACAAGAACTCCGTGTTGTGGGGAGAAGGGGGAAGCAGGGGGCAGAAGCCCACTCACCCACTGCGTCCCCGGACTTCTTAGGCCTAGGGCATACTCCTATCCCTAGCACCCTGATTCCAAGAGGAGAAGTCCTCTTTCTTCTGGGGTCAGCGAAGAAAAGTTGGGACTTTTTGAAAAGAACTTCGCAGACTACTAGGGTGGAGGGCCTGGAGATGGACAGGGTGTGGCTTCCTTAGCCTCAGGTCACTGAGGACCAGCAGGATGCCTCGCCTGCTCCCTCTGCTACTTCCTTTTATATCACCCGGCTAAAACGGCACAAGGAAGCCCAGAGAGCCAGAGAGAGACTCCAGGTTCTAATCCTGGCTCCAGCATTCAGTGCCCGTGCCATTTTGGGCAGACTAACCAAACGCTCTGAACCTCCGTTTTCTCAGCTGTAAAAGGGAACAATAATACCCCTCACTGGGCGACTGAGAATTAAATGGGATACTGTTTATTCAAAGCACCGAGTACAGTGTGCTTTGAGTAAAGCACATTATTATGCATCTACAGCATGCAGTAGGTGCATAATAAATGTTAGTCCTCTTCTCTTTTCCTGAAGCACATCCTAGCAAGTGTTGGTAAGAACGGCTCCCCACCTCAGTCTCCCTTTGCTGCTTTCAAGAAGCCCACGGCCGGCAAAACTCCCGCCCCGCAGCGCCACCTGCTGGGCAAGATGCTCCACAAACTGGCTTCGGAGTCAAGGATCCCCAGTTCCCCCTGGGGGGTTGCAGGCCTCCCCTGCCAGGGCATGCGCTTCCAGAATAGTCCACCGGACTCAAGAAAGGGGGAGGGCTGGGGCTGCAGAGGAGAGCTGGGTGGCTCTTCCAGTGTCACTCTGGGGGTGGCCATCCTACCCTCTTTACCCCCATACCCAGCGACTCACGGGCACAGGTGGGACAGCAGTGCTGGGGCCCAGGGGGCAGGAGCTGGCTGGTGGGACAGCCCACCAGGCTGGGACACTGCCGCCGGTGACACTGAATGCCAGGGGGTCCCTCAGGCTGCAGCTACAAAAATGAGTGAGCAAAGGGGGTGGGTCCCAGGCCCCGGAAGCCGAGAGACACCCTCTTTCCCTGGACTCCAGGCCCTTCCATCTGCCTGCTGCACCTCCCCCCCGGATGTGTCTTGGGCAGATTAAAGTCCAGTCTGCAGAGACTCACCGTCTCCCCAGGCTGCCTCTCACCCCATGCCCGAATTCCCAGAGGTGATGTCCCCTTCTCTTTCCAGTTACTCGGGCCTGACCCTTCCTGTGACCGTTGACCCTCCTGCACTCTCATGCCATCCTCCCCCCTCCCTGCTAAGTCTCCGGCCTTGGGACATCATACATCTGTTCACCATTGCCTTCACATGGAATTCCCTAACATGCCCCCCCGCCGCCACTTCCCAGGTATCTCCCTCTCCCTCCCATATACACCCATCCTACACTCCAGCCAGGAGGGCCTTCCCACTGCCCTCCCACCCCACACTTCCTGGCCCCGCTTAGCTCCTCTCTTCACCCCAAGTCCTGCCTCACCTCCTGGCCACAGGCGCACATTCCTCTCTCTGACCCCCACAGTGCTTGTGCCCCACAGGGTCCAGGCTGCCCCCTTTACGGTGCCCCACCCCTCAGTGTTGCCATCACCCACCTCACAGACGCACACTTCACACGGGTCTGCCCCAGGCTGGAAGCTCTCCCCTGGTTCATACTTGCGACCCTCATGCTCACAGTCTTGGGGCAGGGGGTGGGGGTAGGAGCAGAACAGGACCAGGGAGGCTTTAGGCTGGCAGGAATGCCAGGGGCTGGGGTTCTCTGCCCCCGCAGTGCCCCTCAGCTCCAGGGATTGGCGTGTGTGCAAGAATGGGGGTCACTTCTCCTAGAACAGCCCGGCTCTGCCACCCAGTCCAGGACAAAGGAGGGAGATGTTGACCAGGTGCTGCCTCCCTGCCTTCCCCCAGCTGGCCCCAGGCTCCCAGTACCAGAGCATCGAGGGCAGCAGTCGTTGAGCCCTTGGTGGGGCCGGGCACAGGAGATGACACACTGGACGTGAGCACAGGTCACGATGCCCTCATGACACATGCAGGAGGAGCAGGGGCTTTGAGGGTGCACCCAGCTACTGCCTTCAGGGTGCTCCTCCCCATCAGCCAGGCAGCCTGTGTCCCAGGTGGGCAGGGATGAGCTCTGAGGCTTGGTTCTGCCTGTATGCCTTTGTTCCCCCAACCCTGGGTGCTCGGCAGGGCATGTGGGTGCTGAGAGGGGCATCTGCAGGGAGGTGGTGAGACGGTGGCCGGGGGGGCGGCGCAGAGCTCATGTGTGGGCGGAGGGGAAGGGCCCTGGCTCAGGGTCAGAACACCTGGGTTCTTATCCCATTCCATGTCTGCTTGCTTGCTAGACCAAGGGCTACAACAAATAGTAGCCCAGTACCAGCAATGGTAGCTGGCATGCAGTAGGTGTGTAATAAATGCATGCGGAAAGAATGAAAGGCTCGATCACTAAGCATGTGCCCAAGGTAACAATGTAGACCCAGATGGCTGAGATGCAAATCCTGACTGCCACCTACTAGCTGCGTGACCCCGGGCAAGTTATGGTACCTCTCTGTACCTTGCTTTTCTCATCTGTAAAATGGGAATAATAATAGTACCTATTTGATAGTGTGTGGGTTAAATGAGATATGTGTCAAGTGCTGAGCTCAGACGGGATGTGCTCAACAAAGGTGAATCGTCATTATTATGATGATGAAGAGAGTGTCGTTAGGGAGGGGGCAGTTTTGAGGGGGTGATGGTCTAGGCAGGCCAGGGGCAGGGAGAGGTAGGAAGAACTGAAGACTAGCAAGGTGGGAGGGCCAGGCAGGTGGACAGGGAACAGGAGGCCAGGGGAGAGCTAGCAGAGGGAGGTGGGGCAGGTACGGGGCATCGGGCTGGGTGGGGGTGTGTGGCAAAAGCAAGGGGGCAGCCACATGGGGCCGGGCGTACCTCTGCAGCGAGGGCAGCAACTGGCCTGCTCTGTGACCTGGAGCAGGCAGGACAGAGGAGGGCACGGCAGCCGCACACAGCTGACCTGGCCGGCCTGCGGGAGATGCCCTTTAGGCCAGGAGCCCCAGCGGCATTGTGGCTCTGCGCCCACCCCGCTCTGCCCCCTCCCTACCATACCTGACAACGACACCACTCACAGCTGCCTGGGGGCCCCTCAAACTCTTCCCCGTCCCAGTGCTCCTGGCCCTGGGAGAGGCAGCCTGTGGGAAACACGTTTCCTGGGTGAGGGGCTGTGCCACCTTGCCCTGTCCAACCTCAGGCCTGGCAGACGGGGTGGGGGGGCATGTGGAAGGCAGCTCACTGCGGCAAACAGGACAGAAGCAGGGTCCTGGAGAGGGATGGGGGCAGAGAGCTGGAGGACATGGCTTCTTCTGGCAGTGCATGGAACCTTCCTGGGGGAGAGAGGTCACACTGCCACTTCTGGACTCCATGTCGTCACAACCTCAAACCAGGCTACACACGGCCCCAGGGCGGGCTGTCCCTACCAAGCCTGCCAGGTTCCAGCCCCCCTCCCTTGGCCCGGGAGACCAGAATCCAAGCCTCTTCCACCAGATGGTACCCTGGGAGACCGGGGTGGAGGAAACAAGGTCTTCTTGGTCAGAGAGGAGGATCAAGGGATGAAAGGTTACCAGGTTTCCAGAAGGCCACCTCACCTGGCAGGTGCAGAGGGAGCAGCCAGGGTCAAGTGGGTCAGGAAGGGTCTCTCCGGGGGCTGCAGAGACCCCATGATAGACACATCCTGGAAGAGCAGGAAATGCAATCAAAGAACATCTGTCCGCGCAGCCCTGCACGGCCACGCACACCTGGGCCGGGTACCTCCACCCCGGCTGGGGGAGACATTAAGTGCGGCCTGCTGAGGCCAGCAAGGTGAGGGTGTGAGGAGAGCCTCCGGCTAGCTGCGAGTAGTGGGGAGGCCAGCAGGCATGAAGGGGCTGAGGACTGGAGCTGGGATCAAAGACTGCTGGCAAGTTTCTGTCTGCGCAGCCCGTGGGAAGAGGAGGTGAGGAATATGGGCACTCCTGGAAATGAACGCTCCAGGTGGCCCACGCTCACGATCGTGGGCAAAACAAGCCAGGAGGGAAGGAAGCTGCCTCTCGTGGCTCTTGACTCAAGGGCATGGGAGCCCTCGAACGGGTTTGAGTCTGCTGATGTGACATTTTAGGAAGGCGACGGGAAGAGTGTAAAAGCAGGAAGTTCTGGAAGCATGAGGCCCAGTTATCTGATGAGCACAACCGTGAGTCTAAGGTGACAGCAGGCACAGACAGGAGGGCACGGGTGGGGTGTGAGGAAAGCACAGGGTATGGGTTTGCTGCGGGGCCATCGCAGGGGAGGGGTGACGGTGGTGAGACCAGGTGACTCTGGGCCCCTGGGAGCTCCAGAAGGGGAAGGAAGGGCAGGTGCTGTCCTACCCTGGCAGGTCGGGCAGCAGTGTCCAGCCGGGGTGAGCGGGAGGCTGCAGCCTGGGGGCTCGCAGGGCCGGCGGCCACACGTCACGAAGCCTCCGAGGCAGGTACACAGATTGCAGGGCTCTCGCGGATCCGGGAACTCTTGGCTGCTCAGGTAGGACTCCCCTAGATACTCACAACCTTCGAGAGGGAGGACGGGGAGGGGCAGGGCAGAGGGCAGACAGGGTGATAGGTGAGCGGTAGTCCAATCCAGTCGGGCCTGAGCTGGGGCCTCAAAGACATACCCACTGGGGGGAGGGGAGGGCTTGAGCCAGGCAGCAGAAGGGGGGCAGAGGAGTCTCTGGGGTGGGGGAGCCGGCCGAAGCGCAGACTTCCCCCCTTCAGCCTGCAATCTATCGGGAAAAACCCACACAGAATCTGTCCCTAGAGTTAAATACTCAGCAGGCCGCTGCCCAGCCAGAGGCACTACTGTTCCCAAGCTGAGGAGAGCCGGAGATAGCCCGAGATGGCTTAGGAGACATTGTCCAATACTCTTTCCAGCCCTCCGATGGATCAGGGACGGGGCGGGGGTCCCAGGGCGGTGGCGGTCTGAGCCGAGCAGCCCTCTGACTCTTGCTGACCTCTTTTTTTTAAAAAGAGAGGGCGCTTCGGGTGATAATGATGTGTCAGGGCTGGCTTATCAAATGCACCCCTCCTGTGGGGGTTATTAATAATGAGGGAGGCTGTGCAGGTGCTGGGACAGGGAGTACGTGGGAAATCTCTGTACCCTCCTCTTACTTTTGCTGTCAACCTAAAACTGCCATAAAGAAAAAAATAAAGTCTTAACAGGAAAGAAAAAAAAAAAAGAGGGCTCGTCTGAGTCTCAAAGCTTTGGCAGGCAAAGGTGTCTGACTCAAATTTAATGTTTTATTTTTAACTGTATTAATATTTATGGAAATCTTCATTCCTGGCAAATCGAATTCATTTACAGTATGATATAAAAACTCCTTCCTAAAAAGATTTAAATTTAAAAGTTAATTTGAAAAAAAAATAGTTAACTAAATAAAATTACAGGTGGTAGAGGGTATGTAACAATATTGCCAAGATGGTACAAGGGTGACCAAAGACTGGGGAACTGGGTCTTTTTCCACCGTCTCTTGTTTACAGGAGCTGAAGTTAGAGTTACATTTAAAAATGGTTAAGGCAGTGAATTTTATGTTATGTGTATTTTACAAAAATACACATTTTTTAAAATGTATTCTTTAATTAAAAAAAAAATGAGGACCAGAGAGGTTATGTAACTTGTCCAAGGTCACATATCCAAATAGCATCAGCGGCAGGATGACTAAAACCTGGCAGCACCAGGTTTTAGTCCAGTGTTTGTTATTATGCGATAGATGTTGTGGACCCACTCTAGGGCAGTAAGGGTGATGCCCACCCAGCCCTCCCAGCCCCTAATGCCCACAGTCCCCTGACCCTTACCATCACAGGCAGGGCAGCAATCACCCCTGGCAGGAAAGGGGCACTGAGCAGGTGCACAGGTCCTGGGTTCGCAGCTAACGCTGCCCTCCCAGCAGAGGCAGAGGTGGCACGCGGCACTGGGTGCAGGGAAGCGCTCCCCGCTGGCAAACTCCTTCCCCTGGTACAGGCAGCCTGCGGGGCGGGGGGGGGGGGGGGGGGGGGAAGGGGGGGCAGGCGAGGAGGGCAGGAGCCGGGGCTGTCTGCCAGGCCCGCAGCCTCCCAGGCCCTGCGGACTGGGCACTGTCCCCCTCCCCACCCGCCACGTTCTTAGTGAGAACCCCGATGCGGGAGGGGTGGGCTTGGAGGGAGGCGGATACTGGGACGGCGCCGCGGCAGGGCTGGAGAAAGGGGGTCGCGGAGTAAGAGGGCCCCAGGTAGGGCGGGGCTCAGGGGCAGAGTCGGAGCGAGCAGGGGGCGGGGGCTGGGGCGGCGCGGCCCAGGCGTTACCGGCGCAGGAGGGGCAGCAGGGCCCCTGGCGCGGGTGGGCGCAGGGCGCAGGCGGGCAGGGCAGCCGCTGGCAGGACGCGGAGCCGTGGAGGCAGAGGCAGAGGCGGCAGGGGTCGTCGGGCAAGGAGAAATGCTCCAGGTGGCGGGCCGGGACCCCGCCGCCCGGCCGCGGGCAGCCCGAGGAGGCGGCTGCAGGGGAGAGCGCGCGTCAGGGCTCCCGGGAGAGGCTTGCGGAGGCTCCCCGCCCTCTCCCGGCCGGGGTCTGCCCGAGGGCTGCGCCTCCTACCCGGGCACTGCGGGCAGCACTCTCCGGGCAGCAGGACCGGCTCGGGACAGGGCAGCGGAGGGCAGCGGCGGGCGAGGCACTGCACGCTGCCGCTCTGCAACAGGGGGACCACGCCAGGCCCGATTAGCGGCGGGAGGCGGAGGAGATCCCCGCGCCTCCTGACGGCCACCCTGGGGCACCGCGCCTGGTGTCCCACGTCCCGCCCCTCCACCCCGGGGCGGGGGCGGACTCACCAGACAGAGACACTGCCGGCAGGGGTCGGAGGGGTGAGGGAAGTCCGCTCCGTTGGGGTACTCTTTCCCGCCAAAGGCACAGCCTGGGGGATGGGGCAGCTATAGGCCCGAGAGGGGCCCTACGCCTCCCTGGGTATGCTGCCCTTGCAGCCCTAAAAGCCCATAGAGGGAACCAAGCCATCCCAGGAGACACCTCCCACCCCCCATCCCATCCACCTCACCATTGCAGTCGTTCTGGCAGCAGGGACCAGGCAGCGGGTGGGCACAGGGGGCCCTGGGGCAGGCCCGAGGCTGGCAACGGGCATGGCCTTCCTGACATTGACACTCCTGGCAGGGGTCTCGGGGGTGGGAGAAGCTCTCGCCATCCACAAATACTCGTTCCTCCAGGATGCAGTCTGAGCATTGGGGCAGGGGGAGGGGCGGGAGTGGCGGCAAGGCCTGACAGTTCTAGGGCTGGGCCAGGTGTCCAGCCATCCTCGGAGTACAGAGCCACTGAGGAAAGGCCATGAGGAAGCCCCGTGGAGAGAGTGACGGAGGGTCTGTGTAGGCAGGCGTGGGTAGCTCTCTGAGCACACGCTTGTGTGTGTGTGTGTGTGTGTGTGTATTTGAACCCATTTACCTGCAGGCATGTGTGTTGCCTCTGAGGAGGACGAGCCAGGGAGCTCATGTGTGCAGGTGCGTGTGTTTGTGATACCCACCCTGGCACGGACTCTCCACCAGGGCAGGACTCAGGTCACATTGCCTGCCAGCACCAGTCTCCGCATGCCAGACCCAAATGTTTGTTGCATGAACCTGCTTTATACAGAAAGATATGCAAATATATCTGACTGGTGGGGGGATAGGAAGAGGAAATATAGAATGGAAGGAAAGAGTCACAGAGTAACACGAAGGGATAAACAAATCTCTACTCTGCCTCCCGCCCATACTCTGTGAGTTCCAGAGAGTTCCAAGCTGTGTCCGACTGGAAACAATTCGGAAGGCTGTTGCTTTCTAAGGTATCTGGTGAGCCCAGGGGGCCATGGGAGAGCTGGGTCCAGGGCCCCCAAGCCAGACAGGTGCAAGAAGCACGTACCTGGGCACCTGGGACAGCACTGGCCGGGTCCACTCTGGGGCCTGGCACAAGTTGTGGGAGGGCAGTCAACCAAGGAGCACCTCACAGTCCCCTCCTGGGAGCAGGGGAGAGGGCAATGGGGTTGGGCCCCAGGAGGGGCTCAGCAGGGCAGCGCAAGCCTGAGGAGGTACCTCGCAGCGGCAGGTGTGGCAAGGACTATCTGCGTCTGTGAAGTTCTGCCCATTGGCGTACACTTGGCCCTGGTAGGTGCAGCTCTCACAGCTGGGGCAGCAGGCGCCTGGGTGGGGCAGACTGATCAGAGCCCAGCGAGCCAAGGTGGGCTGGACAAAGCGGGGGAAGAAAGCCAGATCGGGGTGGAGCACTCACCGGGGGGCTGGGTAGGGTGCTGGCAGGGGGCTGGGGAGCAGAGCACCGCCCCACACATGGGCACGCCATCATGACAGGCGCAGGCCGTGCAGGGCTGACCATCAGGCTCCCACTGGACCCCCTCGGCAAACTCCTCTCCATCGAGCACACAGGCTAGAGCGAAGGGGGCTGTCACCAGGGCAACCTGGACGCCTCCAGCCATACCTGACCTCCCCAGACCACGGGAGGTCTCTGAACACACACCGGACTGGTGTGTGTTGCCATCCCCACGGTGGCCTCTGAACACACACCGGACTGGTTGGTGGGCCTGGCAGCGCCCCCCTCACTTCCATCTGCAGCGGCTGGACGCAGCCCTCTTGTGAAACTGTTCCTCCTTCTCCCCCTCCCCACACCTACCTGGGCAGAGCTGGGGGCCAGAGGCAGGCAGCGTGCAGGGGGCAACTGGGCACTCCTGCTCCTCACAGGAGACCTCGCCAGCCTAGGAGGGACGTTGGCTGAGGGTCCTCAAGGGCTGACACAGATCTGGGGCGCGAGAGGGCGGGACTGGCTACCTGGCAGGAGCAGCGGATGCAGCGCCCACTCTCTTGGAGTCTAAAGGTCTCCTCACTCTGATACTGGTGTCCCTGGTACTCACAGCCTGGACAGGAGGACAGGAGGACCAGGGTGGGGGACAGAGCTGGAGGCTGCGGTGACACCTCACACCAACTCCAGGCAGCCACCGCCCACCCTGATGTGCCCGGCTCCCCCACCTCCAGGATCCCGGGGCCCAGTTGGCCATGAGAAGGGGAGGTGAGGGCGTGGTGACGGAAGCTCAGGCTTATCAAGGCCTTCTCCCGTACTGTAGTGCAAGGGGCTTCCTATAGGTCCCACCCCTGAGCCTCTCCGGGGCCAGGGCTTGCCCCTCTTCAGGTGACTTGAGTCCCCAGCTCACCGTCACACACTGGGCAGCACTGCCCAGGGATCCTGCCTGGGTGTCTGCAGGGCACAGGTGGGCAGGGCAGAGGCTCACACTGGATGCTCCCATTCTGCCGATAAGGCCCGGTCAGGGTCCGAGAGGCAGGCCCGGGAGCCAGCCCCTCCCTGCCAGGCAGCCCACACTCACAGCGCAGCGGCAGTGTGCGCAGGGGTCCCCAGAGCCCACCGGCTCTCCGCTGTGGTACTCCCGCCCATTTAGGAAACAGCCTGTTGGGGAAGAGGGTGCCTCAGACCCTCCTCAGGAACGCCCCCAACACACGCACACTGCTGCACGTCCTGGTCCTGGGCTTCATGGGAGCCCGAGCTGGGCCGTCCGTGAGCTCTCTGAACGCCCGCCTCAGGCGCCGCTCACTGACTCACCATCACACAGCGGGCAGCAGGTGCCTGGCAGGGGCCGCGCAGGGTACGGGCACAGGCTGGTGCACTCTTGCTGGCGGCACTGAACGTGGCCCTCCTGGGGGGGGACAGAGGGGGCGGAAGGGGCAGGGGAAGGGGCCGTTAGAGCTCCGTCAAGCGGCAGAAACAGCAATTGAGTCCCTGCGATCCACTTATTAGATATTGTTACGGGTTGAACTGTGTCCCCCCCGCCAATTCATACGTTGAAGTCCTAACCGCCAGCATGTCAGAACGTGGCCTATGTGGAAACAGGGTCATTGCAGATGTAATTAATTAAGATGAGGTCATCCTGGAGTGGGATGGCCCCTCCAATAACCGTGTCCTTGTGAAAAAGGGAAATTTGAACACACACACACGCACACGCACGCACGCACACACGGAGGGCAACATGCAAAGATGAAGGGAGAAGCCGAGGGGTGCCAAGGATCGCCAGCAAACCACCAGAAGCTAGGAGAGAGGCCTAGAACAGATTCCCCGTCACAGCCCTCAGAAGGAACCAAACCTGCTGACACCTTGATCTTGGACTTCTGATCTCTTGAACCACAAGACGATACATTTCTGTTGTTTAAGCCAATCCGTTTGTGCTACTTTGTTATGGTGGCCCTAGGAAACTAATACAGCTGTATAACCCAGCATGTTACTGAAGCACTCTGTGACTCAGTTTACCCATCTGAGAAAAGACAATAATAGTTCTGTCCTCGGGCACCTGGGTGGCTCAGTCGTTAAGCGTCTGCCTTGGGCTCAGTCATGATCCCAGGGTCCTGGGATCAAGCCCCACATCGGGCTCCCTGCTCAGAAGGGAGTCTGTACCTGCCCCCTGCTCATGCTCTCTCTCTCAAATAAATGAAGAAAATCTTAAAAAAATATAGTTCTGTCCCCATAGCCTGTTATGGGAATGAAATGAGATGCGGTGCCTGGTGTGACCTCCACCTCTGGAAGCTGGCAATCCGACTGTAGCTGCTGCTACCCCCCACGGCCCTTCCCACCCAGACCCCACCCCTTGAGCTCACACCTGCATCGGGGCCCTCCACGGCCAGTCCCATAAGTGGACAGCCAGTCACTCTTCTCACAGGTGTTGGGGAGGGTGGTCTGTGTGAGCAGGGATGGGGAGCACATCCTTGCAGAGGGGGTGGGTGCAACCATTTGGGTTGCTGAAGTGAAATCCCATAGGCTGGGGGGCTTATAAACAACAGAAATTTAGTTCTCACAGTTCCAGAGGCTGGGAAGTCCAAGAGCAAGGTGCCAGAAGTGTCTGGTAAGGACCTGCTTCCAGGTTCCTAGACACCTGTCTTTTCAATGTGTCTTCACATGGCTGAAGAGAGGAGGAGCTAGCTCTCTGGGGTCCCTTCTACAATGACACTAATCCCTTTCACAAAGGCTCCACCCTCGTGACCTAAACACCTCCCAAAGGCCCCACCTCCTAATACCAGTACCTTGGAGGTTAGGATTTCAACATATGAATTGGGCTGGGTGGGGGGGGCACACAAACATTCAGTCTATAGCACCTGGAGTGTCTTTCCTCATTTCTCCCTGCTTAAATTCTACTCACCCTTTAAGGCCTAAACCCATCCCTCCCATGAAGATTTTCCAGATCTGTGCCAACATAACACAAGTCACAAGTCACTTTAAATACTCTAGTAGTCAAATTTCAAAAAGTAGAAAGAAGCAGATAACACTAAATTTTAAGATACTCCATTCAACTCAATATATCCAACAGTTATTTCAACATACAATCAACATAGAGTATTAATGAGGTATTTTATATTCTTTTCTTTCATATTAAGTCTTTAAAATCCCATGCACATTTTACACTCCAGCCCATCTCAGATTGGATGGCCCCATTTCCAGGGCTCAGTGGCCACACGCAGTAGGTTATAGATTGGACAGCCCAGTTCTAGATGGCTCGAGGAAATCTGCATTTCTCTCTCCCCGGAGCTGTTGCTGCCTGTCCTATCCTGCCCTGTCTCACTCCTGGAGCTTGCGAGCTCTTTGAGTACCTTCATAAATCCATGCTGCACACCTGATATGCTCAGAACTTGGCACATAGACAGGCACAGCCCCATCCCCCAACCCCGCACCTCACAGAGCCCAGGATCAGGTCTTCTCCCCCTCTGTCCCCTCCCAGGGCCTATGGGACGTGCTCAGTGAAATGAAGGAATGACTATGGTGGGCTTGGGGTGTGGGAGCAGCGGCGGGGCTCACCAGGCACTGGCAGATCCGGCACGGGTCCCCAGGAGCAGTCCACTCTTGGCCGTGCTCCCGGTGAGAGCCACCTTCTGTGCAGCCTGGGGTGGGGGTGAAGATGGGCAGAGAGGAAGCCTAGTGGCAGCCTGCCTGGCTGCCGGCTTCAGGCTGCCCCCACCTTCCTCCACATGCCCTCTGGGGGCTCTCTCCTGAGCCCAAACCAGACCACGTCATGCCTCTGCCTAGGCTCCTGGGGGCTCCCAGGGCACCAGACAGGGTAAGACCCAAGCTCCTTAGCCTGCCCTTCCAGGCCTCCCAGGACCCAGCGCGGCCACGCCCTCCTCCCCCTGCTCTCAGCCTCCCCGCATCTCTCACTGCAGGCTTTGGCCATTCGTGTGTGCTTGCACCTTACCGCCAACACACACCCACCTCACACTGTCAGTCCCACGCCTTTGTGCAAGCCGTCCTCTCTTCCTGGGATGCCCTCTGCCTTAATTCCTCCCTTCACCTAACTAACTGCTCTTTATCCTGAGGGTTCACTCAGGACACGCTGTCTCCGGGACGCTCTCCTTCCCGTGTCTAGGTTGGATTGGGTCTCCTTCCTCTGAGTTTCCACAGTACCTGGCACCTGATTCTCATCCTGCCTTTGCCATAGGACTGGTGTGCGACTCAGCATCACCCTCTAGTGGTCTGCCTGGAGGGCCCGCCTGCGTCCTCCGTGCCCAGAGTAGGTAATAATGGTCAACATTTATCAGGGTATAGAATGTCATTATCCGGGCGCCTGGGTGGCTCAGTTGGTTAAGCGACTGCCTTCGGCTCAGGTCATGATCCTGGAGTCCCGGGATCGAGTCCCGCACCGGGCTCCCTGCTCGGCAGGGAGTCTGCTTCTCCCTCTGACCCTCCCCCCATCTCATGTGCTTTCTCTCTCTCTCATTGTCTCTCTCTCTCTCTCTCAAATAAATAAAATCTTAAAAAAAAAAAAAAAGAATGTCATTATCCACACCTCACAAATGGGGAACTGAGGCATGGAGTAACTCCCTCAGAGGCACACAGCCATGACGTGGCAAGGGCAGAATCTGAGCCCAGGCACCTCAGCTCCAGAGCAGGCTTGACCGGGCATCGCTCCCCCACTGACCAAACCCCCCAGGTCAGAGCCAGCAGAATGAGCTCTGTTGTGGAAGAAATGGCGTGACTTCCCCGCCGGGAGCTCCACCAGGGAAGGTCAGGGCTCTTACCTTGGCAGGTCGGGCAGCAGTGCCCAGGCCTTGGGACCGGCTCAGGGCAGGGGCTGGGCGGACACTTCATGGGCACACAGTGAACCAGGCCGCTCTGTAATGCACAGATAGCTGGCTCCCAGGGAGGGCGGGGTGGGCAAGGGTCCGACACCCTTGGGGGGGCTGTGGGGCACAGGGACGGGATGGAGGGGAACCTCACCGGCAGCAGGTCTTGGAAGGTACATGAGGGGATGAAAGAGCAGCAGGGGTGGCCCAAGGTGGGGCAGGGAGTAAATAAGGAGGAGCAGGGCCTGGACAAAGGGGGGGTGGTGGGACTCACCAGGCAGGAGCATTGGAGACAAGGGTTGGAGCTGGACAGGAAGTTGGCCCCCTCTTCATAGGACTGCCCCTCATATGCACAGCCTGGGGAGGGTTGCCAGGATGACAGGCTGGTCAGCAGAGAACAGGGTGAGTGGACATCACCCAAGGGAGGGCATGACCCCAAGTAGGTACTGGACCGTCGGGGGCTGAGGGGGTGGAGGGGCAGGGCAGGGCGGGAGGTCACCTGGCCGGCAGACGGGGCAGCACTCCCCAGGCGGGGTATAGCTCTCCAGGCAGTTGAGCTCTGAGCATGAGGGCCCCTGGCACTGCACGGTCCCTGCCTGCAGGGCAGACACTGAGCCCTCCCTCCCTCTCCACTGCCCACGCTCACTTACTCTGCTGGCCAAGTGGGCCTAGCAGGCTGCAGCCTCGACGCCTGGGGGGCGGCAGCAGCTCCGTCCGGCCCCCGGATTGGGCTTGGCACTGCCAGGCCGGGGGTATGCCGAGCGTCAGGGATGTGCGTGGTGGCCGGGGCTGGGCTCTGATTCCCTTACCTGGCAGGTGCAGATGACACAGGGCTCTGGATGCCACGTTTCCCCAGCCCTGTGGCCTCCAGGGCAGCCTGTAAAACCGGGGCCAGGCCCCCAAGTCAGAGACCCATAGTACTGGAGCAAAGCATCAAAGGGCACCATTCAGGCGATAACCAGAGATTTTTATACTTACTACAAGTTTCCAGCAGATGGCAGTCAAGTGTCTGACTCAAACATAATCAGTAGATTTCCATTATTTTACTATAGAAGTGTTGAGGAAAGGGTGCCTTTTCAAAAAATTTCACCCAAGATATACGAGCTAGCAGTGGCCTTGAGGCACCTTGTATCCTGAAAGCTCTGTGCGTGTGCGTGTGCGTGTGTGCATGCATGAGGGCATGTGCGTGTGTGCGTGTGTGTCCCTTGACTTTGAGATCCACCAGCTCCAGAGACTCCCCTCCTCATCTCGGGCCAAGACTCCCAGGCTCCATTTCCAGACCCCACTGGTCCCCTGAGCCCCTGACCCACCCTTCACACTACCAGCTGATATTCTGCTAGATAAAATATAGGATGCTCAGTTGAATTTGAATTCCATATAGACAATCTATACTTTTTTTTAGTATAAGTACGTTCCAAATATTGCAGGAGACATACTTACACTAAAAAAGTATGTGTTGTTTATGTGCGAAATTCCAATTTAACAAGGCATCCCGTATTCTCTTTGCTAAATCTGACAACCCTATTCCTTGACTACGAGCTAGTAACCTCCCTCAGCAGGGCCACTGCGTCCATCTCCTCCCACTTCTCTTCACGGTCCTGGCACCACTGCCTTCCTAGCTTCCTACCATTCCCTGGGATCTGACCAGTCGCCCGTGCTTTAGAAGCACCGCTCCCTCCCTCTGAAGCCACTGCCATCCCTAACTCCCTGGCTCCATGCCTAGATGACTACTGTACTAGCCCACTAACTGGTCTTTCGCATCTAGCCCAAACCAGATGAATATTCCTACAACACTCCTTTGAACAGGCCACATTCTGGCTCTGCAGCCTTCAATGGCTCCCCATTGCCTCCAGAAGAAAGTCCAAGCTCAAGGCTTACAGCAGGTTCTTCCCACGGGGCCTTTCCAGACGGATTTCCTACAACACACCTCTCCCCACCCTGTTCTTGTGCCCGAAGGGCCATTGAGTACTGTCTCCTTCCGCTGAAATCACTTTCCCTTGAAGGTGCGGCTCAGATGACCCGCCCCGACACAGTCTTGAGTGGAGCCCCCGCCTTCCCACCATCTCCTCCAGCAGCTAACCACACACTGCCCTCCTCTAGTTCTTTTAATCTGGTTACTGGATCTTAAATCTTGTGTTGTATTAGCTTTCCGTTTATCTTCTCAACTAGGTTAGAAGCCCCCTGAGGGCAGGAAAAAGGTCGTACAGAGGCTCTGTACAGGCCAGGGTCCGTATTTGCGGGCTCTGCTTCAGTTCTGAATTCCCTGAACCACTGCCAGAGTGAGTGGGCAGGCACCCTCTGGGCACGTGGCGGGGAGGGGGCACACGGTGCCTCTGGGGGCCCCCAGAATGGGTGCAGGAGGTGGGGCTGGGGCTGGCGGGAGGCTGACCTGGCTCACAGTGCGGACAGCATGCTCCCGGCTCCGGGCAGGGTCCCCTTGGGCAAGGCTTCTGGGTACAGGTTACGGCCCCTCCCTGTGGGGAAGCCGACGGGTGGCTGCATGGCGTCAAAACACTGAGGGCCCGGCCTCCGGACCCGAAAGGTCACCCTCGGCCGGCCGCCACACAGTGGAGGAGCAAGAAAGAGGCTGAGGGGGCTCAGGGTACATGGGCTACCCTCAGTCCGAGGGCAGAAAAGAGACATCCTACCCCCACCCCCATCATCTCCTGCTGCTCTGGAGCCCCAGAAACCGTCTCTTCCCAGTGCCAGCAAGTTCCCAGAGGTCCTAGGAAGGGAACTGAGAGCTTCCTCAATGGAGGAGCGGGGAGGGAAAGGCTGGAAGAAGGTGGATGTGGAGCCAAGTGAGGGAGACCAGGCGGGTAGATGACAGGGACACACGGATAAGCAGGGACAGGGAGGGTCCACAGGTGAGGGGGTGATGTAGGAAGACAAGCAGCTCCACCCCCTCTGCCCTCCATGCCGCTGTTTGCCAGGCCCAAATCAGAGGGGCTTAGGGGCCCCCCACCATGTGTGTGTGTGTGGGGGGGTTGAGCTCCAGAAAACAGAGCCACTTGGAATCAGCAGGAGCCACTGGTGGCCAGGCTTTGGGGGAGGGGCGGGCAGACACCATTACTCAACTTCCAGCACACGAGGCTGCAGTGACTGGTAACTTAAGTGAGGCAGGTGAGGGGGACAGGTATGGGATATGCAGGTGGGTCATGGGAACTCACCAAGCAGTGGCAGGTGGTGCAGGCGTCTGGGGAGAAGGTCTCCCCATTGCCATAGGCTTGACCGTTGTGGCTGCAGCCTGGGGAGGAGACAGGCCGTCACTCAGGCACTCAGGGCCATCCCCAGGTGCCCAGGTGGTCCTGGCAGGCAGATAGAGTGGCACTCACCATGGCAATGGGGCAGGTCGGGCTTGGGCTCACAGTGCACAGCCCCGTCCCGGCAGACACAGGCTGTGCAGGGGTCGGGCTCCCAGCGAGCGCCCTTGGGCCAGGCCCACCCCAGTCCCCAGCACTGGGCAGAAGCGGGGCGGCATTCACAGGACTCCAGCCGCCTCACCCTCACCTGCAGCTCCTTGTTCTGGGAGAAAGAGGCGGAGGGGAAGGTAGGAGGTGCTGGCTCAGCTCCACCCCACCCGACACATCTGGCAGATATGTGGGGTGTGAAGACTGAGCAGGGCGAGAAGGCAATTTGACTGTTCCAGGGCACAGGTGGGTCCCTTCCAGGCAGCACCTAGTTTAGCCACAGTTCTCAAGATCTGGAGTCTGGACAGGCTCCTAAGGGAGCCCGGGGCCCCCAGACCTCTCCTTTGGACAGAAGTGGACCAATCCCCTCTCCCCAAGCATTAAAGACCTTTATCCATCCAAAATCCTTTCTGATGAGGCCTTATGTATAGTAGGTGCTCCATAGTGTTGGCCAAATACATGAAAGAACATGAATATCTAAATTGATGAAACAAATACTCTGGAGATTCTTCATTTGTATGAACGAATCAATATTAAGAACCGTTCATATAAGAACTTCTCCATGTGCATTTAAAAACCAAACTCTGTTTTACAGTTCCCGCCCCCCCCCCCCCCCGCCAGCCCAACCCTTCTTTCCTCTAAGGACGCAAGACCTGCCCTACCCCACACAAACCCACCGGCCTCCCGCGCTACCTGCTCTCTGAGCGCCATCATCTGGGCCTCCAGCCTTCCCAGCCGTTCCTCCAGGGGGCGCCCCTGCTCCTGGGGGGCCCCAGCAGGGGCTGAGGCGAGGGCAGGCCCCTGCTGCCCGTTGTCGTGGATGTCAGCAAGCTCAGGGGGCTCCCTGAGGATGGCCCCACCTGAAGGGGACAAGAATCCAAGGTGGGCTTGTGGGTGAGGGACTGACGAGGTTTCCTGGGTCCTGTCTTCCAAACGCTGCAGGGGAGGAGGGGCACCTGGGCCCCACCCCTGTCCACCTGCCCACTCACCTTCCAGAGAAGGAGATTTGGTCTGTGAGGGTGCCGGAGTGAAAGCGTGGAAGGAGAAGGGAAAAGGTGCACACAAGGGACCCAGACCAGCTTTCCCAAGTGGCAAGGACCTCTGTCGGTATCAGCCCCAGGACCCTGACCTGCTGGGGCCATGGGGAGAGTATCTAGGCCAGTGCCTCCCTGCAGCCTCCCATATGCTGCAGGGGTCTCCAGCCATGGGGAGCGGGTCAGGGTCCCCATCTTTATGTGCGCAGGGTCTTGGCCAGGGTGAGCCTTTGGAGCTGACCAGTCAGGCTGGGAGCGGCCAGTGTGGGCTGCAGTGCAGGGGAGGGAGCTGGCCATGTGAGCGCCCCCGGCCCTCCAACTGCCGGTCCTCACCGGTCAGCGAGGGCGCTGTAGCCGGAGCGGGTGCACAGCGAGGGCCGGGGCGGCTCCTCCCTCTGCTCCACCCCCACCCCGCCCCAGCCTTGCCTCTATTTCCCGGCCCGCGGTGGCGGGGCCGCGGGACCCCACATCGGGACCTCACAGTCTGTATCCGACAGAGGTCCTTGCTACTTGGGAAAGCTGTCTGGGTCCCTTTTGTCCACCTTTCCCCTTCTCCTCCTTCCACGCTTTCCCTCCAGCACCGTCCCAGACCAACTCTCCTTCCCTGAGAGGGGGGTGGGCAGGTCGACAGGGGTGGGGCCCAGGGTGCCCCTCCTCCCCTGCAGGGTTTGGAAGACAGAACCCCACACTGGGCAGGGGGAGCTCCAGAAGGTGGAACTTGGCTGCATTTCTTGAAGGCTTTGGGGAAGGGGTCAGCAGGGCCCCCACTAGCTTTCAAGGCACCAAGCCGAACAAAGACAGCCTAACCCTGGTTTTTGATGACACTATGTTAGAGAAAGGGGTTCCTCTGAGTTCAGGCCTGGGGTTGAACAGCCATTTCCACCTCACTTGAATCCCTCCCGTGCAGTCAGAAAAGTGAAAACCGGGGGTGGGTGGGTGCGGGGGCTGTAGGCTGACTCCACAGACCTCCCATAGACCAGATCCCTCCTCTGGGTGGGGGTGGGCAGAGGAGGGTCTGGAGGAGGAAGAGGAGGAAGGAGAGGGGAGGGTCTTCCCTGCAGAGGCAGCGAATTATGAGGCCAGGTCTGGGGTGGCTAAAAGCGTTTCTCGTAGACACTAGTCCTGTGAGGCAGGGGACTATGTCACCCACTCCCCTCCCCCACTCCCCCAAGCGGGGATTGGAGAGTCTCATTTGAAACCTAAATTATCTTCTTTCTTCCAAACCTGCTTTGGCCCGAATTCCTTGGCTTTGTTGCTGCCATCCCCACGGACTCTGATATCAATCTGGGGCTCGGTTTCCCTCTTTTGTGCCCCCCCAACCCATCAGCCCCTGGGCTTATCCGGTTGTCCCCAGCCCATTCCCCTCTCTCCACTCAGGAGGCTGAAGTCAGAGTCGTCCTCCCTGCCTCCACCTGTCACCACTTCTCTAAATCACACATCTGAAGGTTCCCAGCAGCAAGTCCAAATGTGACCTTTTGCAAATGCCACCCATCTTTTCAGCCTGCCCCACTACTCCACACATCCAGGTTCTAACGCCCCAACAAAGGCCGACACCCAAGCCTCTTGGGCACATTCCCATTCCCTCCCTAGCTGGGTATGCTGTCACCTGGAACTCGGTAGGGCTCCTGTAGGTGGCGTTCTTCCCCGCCCTCTGCAGGGCCGCTGAAGATAGATGAGGGCTCAGCATCTTAAACTCTCCGTCCCAGCTTGACACCCCCACCCCCACGGTCTCTCCTCTCAGGCCACACCTCCAAGTCTACTTCAGCAGCACAATAAGGGAGTCGGGGAGAGGGTGGGGGTCCTTTGGGACCCTCCGGGAAGACAGGGCCAGTCCCTTGCCTGGAGAGACCAGCAGAAAGAGCTCCAGATTGTTTCACAGAGCCTGATTGCTCCCCATGGAACTGTCCTCGGCTCCCCTCTCCCTAGCCGGCTGCCAAGTCCTTGCACTGACCCCTCTATTCCTGCCTGCCCCCCTCCCCGAAGGCCAGACACAGACTCAAAGTCAGCTCCCATAGCGGGCCTCCTTCCCCCCACCTCCTCAAGACAAATAATTAACTTCAGACTCCCAGATTCCAGGGCAGCCTCTCCCCCACCGCTGCCTGCAGGAATTCCTCCCGAGCCATTGCAGGAAGCGCCCCCCCCCGCCCCGGGCCCCGGACCCCGGACCCCGGGCCCCAGCCTCCGTGCGCGCCCCCACGCGGGCTCCTCCACCGACCGGGAGGACTCAGGCTGGCCCGGGAGGCGCTCGCACCCCGCGGCGGGAGGTCGGGAGAGGCAGCCTGGTCCCAGCTCCTTCCCTGGGGCTGGGCTGAGTGAGAAACGGGGTCCCGCCGGGCCGCCCCCGAGCCTTCGGCGCCCCGACTTACCTCTGCCCGTTGCCGAGACCAAAGCCAGGCTGGTGAGCTGCAGGACGAGGGGCAGCGGAGCCGCCCGGGGCCCCGCCATGCTCGCTCCGCCTCGCTGTCTGTGGTCGCGGCTCCGCAGGCGCTGGGGGAGGCGGGGTGGGGACACACCAGGCCGCCTCCCACCCAGTCTTTGTTCAGGGAGGGCTTCTGGAGTCTGTCATCCTGCCCGGGGGCGCGCGCCTCCCCAGTGGGCACCTCGAGCCCAGCGCCGTCCTGACCCCAGCCCTGTGGCAGAGGGCAGCGCCTGGGGAGCAGCCCCAGCCCCGCAAGAAGCTGGGGACCCTCTCCTGCCTATGGTCCCTGGTGGAGACCCTGACAATAAACACAAATTTATCACTCTGAGGCCCTGGGACAGCTGGTTTTCCTGCCTCCCCACCCCCCCCCGCCCCCGCACTCCCTTGGGGTTACTCCATTTGCCTTGGGGTTCCCAGTTCGGCTTCTTTCTTGCTTACAGGAGGATGGGGCTGGGTTCAAAACCCTATTTAGCCAAAGCCATGTGTCCTTAGGCAGACCCCTAACTGTGCCTCAGTTTGTTTGCAACCCGGGGATTCTAATATCTACTTTATAGACTGGCAGTGAAAGTATATAAATAGGGTAGTGGTTGGCACATGCTAAGTGTGTAAATAACAGTAAATAACAAATTGCAGCAAAGATGCTGTTCCAGACCGCTGAGATCAAGGTCTCCTGCTTTCTTCCTCCTTTGTCCACCTATGCGTTTCCTTCCCGGACTCTACTCACCACCCCTATCCACCCCACTAACCCCAGGCTTGGCCCCAAATGCCAAGGCCTCCCTTTGCTGCCTGGTCCCAGCCCATTTTCCAGTTCCTAAACTCAGGCCTGGGGGCGGGGGATTGGGGGGGTGGGGGTGGGAATCTAGGACCTAATTGC